TAAAGGTATTGTCACAGGATGTAAGCTGTTCCAAGTAAACCTGCCTATTGCAATTGATTGATGGTCAGTCCGAAGACTAATTAAAGAAATTTTGACAAATTCTACCAGAACTGTGGCAGACTACTTAAAACAGGTTGTGCAGTTTAGGAACTGGATGTTCCATCAAAGTTTTCTAATTTCAAATCTTATCTTAAGTCATTCTCAGAACCTTAAGCTGGAATAATGTATCTTCTCTCTCTCTCTCTCTCTCTCTCTCTCTCTCTCTCTCTCTCTCTCTCTCTCTCACACACACACACACACACACACACACACAAGCATTATTGCTTTAGCTGCCAGCACTTGGTGGGGGAAATGTCTTTGTCCATCATGTCATAGTGCTATTCCTACCCACTTCTGTATCTTCAAGGTATTCCATATGGACCATTGTTCCTCCCAACTCACTGCAAACAGACATCTGTCCCCACTGAGCACCAAAGTCAAGGTCACCTCCTCACCTCAAAGATTTTAAGTGCACGAGATGGGAGTGAAGTCTTCCCTCCTTTGAGTGTGAAGAGAAGATTCAACATGGCTATCCCATCCTTCTCATCAAAGACAATCGTTTCAGTCAGTTCAGTAGCTTCAGCTGCAGCAGCTGCAGCAGCTTCTCTCTCCTTTCTGGCATCTTCAATAAGACTCTGTCGCCTACCAATGAATTGTGGAGACTGGACAAAGAGCACAAGAAAAGAAAATTTAACACAACCATGGAAAATGGTTCTTATCTGTACCCACTATAGGAATAATCAGCCAAATTCTGCTTCATCTAGCCCAAATATAATTATTTAATTAACCTTCTGGTATCCTTCTGGATAATATGCTAGGTTGGGAGTTGGGCACTGTGTTTCAGCAATGTCATTCCTATAGACATAATGTTTCAATCCCTGATGTGGGGGAGAAGAGGATAACCCCTGTCGGTCATACTCTCATCCCTACTTTTTAATATCTACATGAAGCCACTGGGCAATGTCATGAGGCAGCTTGAGGTGAAGAACTTCAACATGCTGATGATACCCAGATATGCATCACTACCTGAGGTTGGGCCAGAGAGGTTGTTGATGTCTTGACTCAGTGACTGGAGGTATTAAGGGACTGGGGATGGGGGGAACAAGTTATAATTAAATCCTGGCAAGACAGAGATGCTGTTTATCAGGAAGCCATCAGATTCTTGATTAACTGCAGTTATCATTGTGGATGGGATAGTATTCCCTCTGAAGGAGCAATTTTATATTTTGGGGTCATTCTAGACTCACATCTGCTACAAGATGGACAAGTGGAGGGCGCTGCTGGGGAGGGGTGGTTGTCCAACTTTGGTTAATGTGCCAGTTGCCACCCTATCCGGAGCAGGAGGCCCTGGCGACAATCACCCAGCCTAAACCATTGTTCTATGTAGGTCTGCCTTTGGAGACTACTAAGAAGCTACATTTGGCTTATAATCCAGCAGCCCATGTTCTAGCTGATTCATAGCATTGGTGTTGCAGGTACTGTCTTGGTAGCCAATGGACTTCCGAGTACATTTCAAATACTGGTCATCACCTATAAAGTCCAATGTATATATAATATATATTGGCACCTAGGAACCTACAGGACTGTCTACTTCAAGTAATGCCAACCCACCTAGTATGTGCCTCCTCATGAGGGATACTGAGGGTTCCCCCCATATGATATTCAGGGATGGGGAGCAGAAAACTATGTTTTCAGTATATGCTCCATCACAATGGAGAAGACCACTTTTTTATTGGGATGGCATCTTCCCTGATGCTTTTTAGGAAGGCAGTGAATAAATTGTTTTGAAGATAATTTAGTTCTTAATATTGCTGAGTTAGATGCTGGGGGAAGGGTGTATAATTTTTATCACAGCTTTAATATATTTGTATTGATTTTTTTTAATGTTTTTTAATGATTGTTGTGACTTTATGTGAACTGCCAAAAGCCTATACTGAGTTGGCAGAATACAAATGTTTCAACAGATAAACAAACAATACCTGTAATACACCATACATTGAAAACATTTTTGAAATATACAGAATGTTACATTATTTCAGGTTGTAAAATCTACAATGGCAATCAATTTCTTTAACATGCTGATGCTGATGTCAGAAGAAATAAATGGATTAGGATTAATAACTCTCAAATAATGGCAGTTAGGAAAGGGAAAAACTTTTTGGTGGGGTTGGTGGGGTTTCCTTTGTAATGCACTCTCCTATAATTTGCACTTCTCAGACTAAGGGATAAAGTTTGCTCCTGCACTTTTCCATATTTTAAAGCATTCTCTATTTTAAAAATGTCTTTTTGACATACAGAAAGAAAAGTGCTTCTTGAAATGCCCTGAAAAAAAAAATGAAACGAATGTATCAAATGTTTTATATTAGGTGAAATTACTTGAAATAAATAATCCATTGCCTACATACATTAGAAGGAACAAGCATGAAAATGTATATGAATTTTGGGGGCAGGAAGCAGAACAGAAATGGTCAGATTTACTCATCTCTATACACATACCCCCCCCCCCCCGCCCCAATGCTGATTGCTGAGGACTTTGGATTTTCTTGCTGTTAAATACGGAGCACAGGAATTAGGGTTCTTTTCCTCAGTGGCACATAAGATGCTCACCTAGCCTCACCTCTGTTTAGCTTTTTTACCTTATACACAAATGCCATATGCAAGGCATTTACAAACTCTGAGGTTGTCTTTTGCGTCCTCAGACAAGGAAAGTTCTGGTCAGTGCTACTTAGATTAAGAAGAAACTAAGTATTCTCTTAGAACCACAATGTAATTATTTTTTCATTAAACAGAGTATGGGTTCAGTAAATCCCAACCTTAATAGGAGATATTACCTTAAATACATTTAAAAAAACAATACATTACTCTCTGTTTCTTAGAAATACACTGGGTGTTGTGCTTTAGATGGAGATTTCACACACGTTTACTCAAAAGTTTTTTAAAAATGTAAAAAGGAGTATGTATGCAGTTGTCTGTATTTTTATTTTAAAACGTGAGTGGAATTTTGCTCAGATTACTTCCATTGTCAGAAAAAAGGGAAGGCTTTAAAAAAAATAGCTGAATGCCCCCTCTCTTCTCAGTTCCCAATACTTCTTCTTGGCTTGGGGTACTGGAGAAAGTATTATTCATTTTATCCAGCTTTTGACATACACAACTGCAAGCTCTTTTTGCATGTTTCTATCTGCCGTTATTTTCCAAAGTGTGTTTGATCTTTTTGCTAATTGTTAACAAGTTTATAGCAGCAGCTTTGTAAGAGTTTGCCCCAAAGGGTGAGGTTGGCATCAATACAAGGAATATTCTCTTCTGACAAAGCAGCTCTTTTCCTAGTCATAAATCCCTGGATTGCACTGGTTCAGGGAGGCATAAGGAGTGAAAACCTCCATCTCAAATATAATCAGCCACCGCTGACATCAAGCAGCTTGCTGAGAAAGAGCCACCCGCTGGAAGAAAGGGCTACCCATCAATGCAACTCAGAAGGCTGCCTTTGGAAAGAGGACACTTTGCATTGGTCTTTTCACAGTGGACAGTGGCCTGTAAGACTCCCATCAGTAAGTTGAAATTTTCTTGGTTTATGTCTTTGCTTTTGGGAGTCACTTGGAAGAAAGGACAGAGCGGGGTTTTGAAATAGTTGCCTGGAAGCTTGCTCAGTAGTTTTCTCCC